TGGCCTGCCTCCTACAGCCAAGTTTGCTGCAATGCCGAAGAGAGAATACACCACACTACAACTAATGTTGCTTGGCCCCATCAATGGCTTCAATGACATTTCCCTCAAGGTCAAGGAGGGGGGTGATCTATTTCCACAGATCTTTGATCAGAGCAGGACCTCTTCTGCAGCGGTATAACACACTGTCATGGGAAATAAAAGAGATGGAGATCTCCTGTATGCCAGGGGTTGTCTTTATCTGAGGGTGCTTTCATCTGGACAGCTCCTAGAACTAGCGATCAGAAGGTACTTGGTAGCAATTCCCCCCACCCCCCATATTTTCCCGATTTTCTAAAGTAACAAAAAATGGAAGAAACAGTGGAAAGTGCAAGAGTGTTGTGAGTGAAAAATGACATAGTCTCCCCCACACCATAAAATTCCATAAATGAGGCATAGTGATAACATGGTAAAAGGCTTGCATGCAGGTATCCTAAGTGGATTTTGACACTAAAGTACAGAACAAAAGGAAACTAAGCAGAGAAAAAATGTTACCCCCTACTTACTAACACTCTAGTTCTTAAAACAGCTTGCCTTGCTATTTTTTTGTCCTCAGCTCTGTTGAGGACTTGGGAGTTCTGACTTTCAAGCTTACTAATACACTTCAGTGAATGTTCCCCTACCTGTATCTCAACTAGTGTATTTCAGATCCAAGGTACAAAACTTCAGCCCTGTGACTATCTTACATCTTTATCCCTAAGAAAACATCCATCAACACAGCATTGTAGGTTTCTGCACTATGAATAGAACAGCATAATTAAATTTTGGAGCTCTTCCACCGAATGCAGGAATTCAATCCAGATTCATTTAGGTTGCCCAGATTGATAAAATAATAATAGATCACTCCCTTCTCAGATTCAGAGGTGTTTGGATGATGCAGACTAAGAACACAGCTCGCCCCAACAATTACTGAAGTGGTGCATGGTGGTTCTCATTAGGTCTGGCAGGCTGGTATAACTAGGGAATTAAGTTTACTAAGGAACCCAATGCATATTTTAGACAGAAAAAAAGCCCTACAACTCTCAGTATTCCCCATACAGGGAACTGCCTCAGAGAGTCTGACATGGAACTTAACATTATAGGACTTTTCTGATTAGACACGCACAAGATTGTGCCATAAAGCACATCAAAATCCCCCTGAAAATAAAACCAACCAACATTATCTTACTGTGGACTGAACTCAAATTTAATTCGTATAACCAGGCTTAACTAGAACATACTAGAGAACAGCACTCCAGGATCCCACCAAATCCTACTATAATCAGACCAACCCACAATTTCAGATTTTTATCCCTTTCTCGGCTCTTCCTCCCAGCTTCGTCAGGCACGTTCATTCTGACTTCCAGACCTGCCATAACCCCTTTTATTCTAATCTGCACAGTCCAACTTAGGTTCGCAACACCTGCCTGTATTCCAACCCTGCCCCACCCAGCTGTGCCACAAAATTATTGCACCACTCTGAGAGGTGAAGTACCTCCATGGCACAGAACTTTACATGTGCAAACCTTTTCCTGGACTCCCTGGAGACTCCAGTTCAAAGACAGAAGAGCTGGGGAAGACTTCAGGGTGCAGACAATCACAGGGCTGACACTGCACAAAGACGGCTCCTTCCACTTTTATGTATTGCACTTGCACACACATACACGCTGCTGCTGCTGCATTCAGCCTTCTATCCTTCCTGCACAGGGAGTGGTACTGGACAGGGCTGAGCTGCGCCATTTGAAGCAGCAATTTATTTAGCCTGCATTTACAGACTAACCAGAGACCACCTGCACCACTTCAGATGCAAAGGCACAAGTCTTTCACTACCTGTTCCAAGCAAAATCCAGCTGGAAAGCCCCTTTCTCTTGGAGTTGGAAGGCACCACTAAAATGCAACACACCCAGAACTCTATAGACCCATACACATCAAAAGGCCACTGGTGGGGTGGGGTGCTGGTGGCGAGGAATGCCATGACTGCAGAGGCTGGTAGCCACACACAAAAAGAAAACAGGCAGGGCAGTGACAAGAGGCAGCGAAGGGATTTTACCAACACCGTCCTTCCCCCAACACCTCACGAACAGACGGGAGTTTCCCCACAAAGGAGGTTGTGCTATTTTCCCACCTGTCAGGAGGCTGGCAGGATTGCCTTGGTGCTAATGGGGGGGAGGGAGGACAGGGGGTGCTTCTGCCTGGTAGAGATGACTATACAGCCATTTGTCAGTCCAGACTGAGCGTGTCAGACTGCAGGAGTTCTGCACTGCAACCCAAAGCGGGACTTCCTAGCGTCAGGCAGGAGCAGAGTGGGGGAAAAAAGATCTTTGTGGAATGTGAAACGTATCAGCCACAGATCTCCCTACCCTTCATCTAGCAAATCAGAATACTATATATCCCTATTGAGCCGTAAACCCCACTGCATTCCATGGGGCTTCTGCCCAGGCATATAGGCTTCTGCATATAGACTTCTGCATACAGGGTTGCAGCCTTTATTTGGTCTTTTAGTTTGGCTGGAAGAATCTCTCAGATTGTAACTTAAGGCCATTGCTAGCGCTTCTCAGTCCCTTCCTGGAAAAGACCGTTCTGTCTTCAGGGTAAAAGTAATCCTTGCCAGCTCCTGATCATGAAACAGGGAAGGACATTCAATTCTACCACATCCCACTGTCAGAAAAAGCCCCTGAGAAATTGATATAAAAATAGTGCTAAAGTCCTCTTGCTGCCTTATTGCCTCAGTGCATCACTACATCGCCAGTCACACATTCAAAACAGCTTCAGACAGATGGCTTACTTCTTAACTCTCATAATCAGGATAGTTTAAAAAGTGGCAAATGCTATGTGACCACTTCCTCCTTTTCCCATCCCCCTTTCAGGCATGCTGAAGACAGAAGTGCAATCTCTTATCTCCAGTTACAACGTTTATCAGAAGGGGAGGTGAAGGTTAGTATTAAATCCTGTGATCTCAGAGGTGTGTGGCAACAGTGTTACTAACAATGCAAGAAACCTACACGAGGGTTGGATCCCGATCCGGTCATCCCTCCAGCAGAACCCACGGATATCACCGCGGCATCTGTTGCTTGTAACTAATGGAATTCACCGAGTTTACTCTAAGCATATAGATCTAGCAGATCTATACAGATGAATTCGGGTGTGGAAGAGCTCACATTAGTGACAGAACAAGTTACACAGGCGTGCCCTTTCCCCTACTTTCCCCCGTCCTCCTTCTTCTCCACCTGGCCTGAGCTATGCGGACATCGCCCCGGCCTCCTCCTGCCCACCATGCCCGCCAGTGCAGTCCTTTCTGAACAAATCGGGCCGCTCCGGAGCACTCCACGCTCGGATCCCGCCGCCCTCGTCCAAACTGTGCAACGAGGCCTGGGAGTCTCCTCCTCCCGCTCCCGCCGCCTCCCCGCGGTCCGATCTCCGCAGTGGCACCACATTCCTCCACACCCGCCCCGCTTTTTTGCAACACATGTTGCCCAACGCTCGAGAGCTCCCTCGCTCCTTCGCCGGGCCGGCCGCGAACACGGCCTGGTGCATGGGGAGAAGCGGGAGGCGCGGTGGGGTGGAGCGGCTTGGCTCGACTCCCTCCGGCCCGCCGCGCCCCTTGCAGGAGACCGATTAGCGCGCTGGCATGTTGCGCGCCCCGCCCCGCCCGCTCCTTCTGCATCTGTCCGTCTGGCAGCCAGCAGCCCATTTGTCGCCGCGGACCAGGCGACCCTGCCGCGGAAGCAGGCAGGAAGGAGGGAACGAGACTCCCCTGTTCAAATTCAACGCCTGGTAAACGGCCCTCGGTGACACACAGACCCAGTATTGTGTGCCCGGCCGATAAATAATCAGGTTACTGTGCTAAAGCCCGGGAAGGCTGAGCACACCGCATGGTGACGACTCGAGCTGGCCCGGGCAACGCGGCACCCGCACCCCGTCCTCTCGCCCTTGCTAGAACAAACCGGGCGAGACAAGGGGGCTGAAAACCGGGATTGGGTCCCTCCTCCCGCTGTGCAAGGGGCTGTTCGTGCCGCGCCGGCGCCTGCCGAGTCCCAAGCCGCACACGCCTGACGCCGCGTGTTTTACTACAAGGCATACTAACAGACTCATGTTCTCCCCCTCCTTGCTAACACCCTCGCCTCTCCCCGATCCGTTAAACCAAGTTATCTCCCACGCCAGCGAGAGCGCTTCTTTACTTAAGGAATTCCGCCCCGAGCACCTTTGGTAACAGGAGAGGCACGTTGCAATACTGGGAGGAAACTGCGATTTAGGAAGATAAAGGTATCCGGCGCGGGCACACGCGCAAACCAGCCCTGCTGCATGCAACGAGCAGCAGCATTATTTCCAAAGTTCCGATGACAACATCATGAATTGAAAGAAAGAGAAAATGCATGCAGGAAAACAAAGAAATGCAACGCTCCGTTTCTTCTCCGATCTTCATTAGAGAGCCGCCAAACCCGCCAACCCATCAGATTGGTGTTGCGGGCGACGCTCTCGAGAACACCGAACAGACACTCAACTTCAGACAAACCATCTTGTCACACACCACACTCCGTGCACACTCAGAGATTCCTCCGTAAATATTGCTTCTTTATTTAAAATCTAGTTAAACATGAGAAACTCCTTGAATTTTCCACTGCTAATTATAGCCGGGAAAACTCTACAACATTCCCTTCCCAAAGCTCTCCGCCCGCCTCCGCCGGCGAATAAAAGAGAAACCGGCTGGTGGGTATTCGAGAAACGGCAGGCAAGGAGAAGGATCAAGTCAACACCCCACCCAAATCTGCCTCCCTTGCTCCTTCCTCCCCGGCCCCTCGCTGAAGTTTGCTTTCTGCAAACAAGCTAGAGAAGCAGGCAAGGAAAATATCGTTTGCAACAGTTTTTTCCGCTCTCTGCCTCTTTCTACAGCCAAGCGGGGGGAGGGGTGTGGCGGAGTCCCAACCACTCGGGCCCAGGAATAACCTAATCATGATCAAAAAGGAGAACAAACAGCGCTCGCTTACTTTTTCTGCCCCTCGAGTCGGAGCCGAGGAGCCGCGGAGAGCCAGCTTCCAGACGAGCGGAAACGCGCCCGGCCGCTCCAACCTTGCGCCTTGGCTGGGACTGCAGCGGCTACCACCGCGTGCGCGGAGCGGGCGAGCAGAGCGACGGCTGTGCGCGACCCAGGCGATTCATAGGCGGCGGCTGCCCCTGCTCATTGTCCTCCGCCTCCAGGAGCCCAGTCTTCCAAAGGCCGGGAAAACCCCCTGGATTTCCATCGGGGGCGGGGGAGGGGGGCGGAGAGGAGGAGGGAGGCGTGTGGGGGAAGCAGCCTGCAGAGCTCCCGATTCCTGACCCGCCGCTCTCGCGCTCGGCCGCCCGAAGTTTGGAACAAGGAAGGGCGCCACGGACGAAGGAAGATGGCTTGTCCTATATAAGGCTGAGGATTTCTTAAAACTCCGGGTGTGGGGGGGAGGTAATTAATCTACAGAAACGGGGGTGGGGTGTCCCTCGGAGAGTTCCCCCTCCTCTTCGCTCCTGGCTCTCTTTTTAAGTCCAGCCTCTGGCGAGCGGAGTCCCTCCTGCTCGGAGCAGCGAGAGCTGAAGAAAATGCTCGTCATGGCAACGCCACTGCCTAGCCCGGCTAGGCTCACCCCCATCCGCCGGAGGAGAGTGGAAGAGGAGGAGGGCCTCTCTTAAGGTGGCTTCGCGAGCAACAGGCGCAGCACTGCCGGCTTGGGTTTTTAAGGGGGAGTAAAGCGACCCGGTGCTGCGGAGCGCCGGAAGAGGGTTTACCGGCGCTTGACCGTTGGCATGCTTCGCGAGAGAAAGCCTCTGAGCAGATCAACGGATCTGCTGCTCAGGAACGGGGCTTGCTTTTTATTATTTTATTCTACTGCATGGGTGAATGCTACAGGCGATTATTGAACCTCGCTGCTTTGAAGAAAAGGTAGCTTTAAGGGGGGAAAGTTGCTTCTGCTTTTTTTTTCCACCCACCATTTTTCCTTCCTACCAGGCTTTGCTGCTTACCAGACAGCAAGCAAATGATATGATTGCAGGGACTGAGACAGACTGGCTGGCTGGCGGGAGTGGGAAGAGATGTTAAAAGAAACTTTCCCCAAAAATATCTTTTTAAAAGCTGCAGAGATCATTGTTATTTCTTTTCTGAGGCTTTGGAAATAATTACAGCATTCTGTTCTTACAATATCTAGACAAGCCTTCTGGATGTATTGGACTACAACTAGTTGCATGATGGTGGAAGTTTTAACCCTTCTAGAGGGTACCAGGTTGATTTATACTTTGGACCAATTGATATTCAAGGCAAACATATTGCTGCCAATCAGATGACAGGTTACTTTTCACAAAACCCTTCCAGCAGGCAGAGAAGTGTTGCCCCATTCATTTTCAGACATGGGCAGTCTAGTCATACAGAAACTTACCACCCAGATCAAAAAGATTAGTTTAAGTTGTGGTTTACTAAAAGACAGTGCTATGCTTTGCAAAACATTGAAACTTCTACCATTTCCATTAATATAATGGACTTATTTAAAAAGAAAAGCCTGCAAAATGTCATGCCCGAAGGCAAAGGAGATCCTTGTATTCTTCCTTGTCAGAGTGGCACAATTAAATGAGATACATTCTAGAGTTAGTGCGAGGATACAGTTTGTCTCCTTGTTAGATTGCAGGAGCAGTTGCTTTGATATATTTACTCACCAAATTAAGCATCTGGTGCCGATCAAGTGAACATACCTGAAAATGAAAATGACGACTAGTTCACACTGGCTTACCCCTCACCTGATTTCTGCAACATGAAGCAACCGTGACTTGTATGTGTGAATGGATTGTCTCATATGATCTGCTTGTGGTGTTATAGCTCCTTGCATTACCTGAAATACTGCTTCCATTGAAGTCATTTCACATGTTCAGTGACAAGACATCAAAGTGCAGTTCACATGAGCATGACTATATTTAAAGAACGCTGGTTTGCTCTGCCCTCGTTACAGGCCCACCAATGCCCACTCCACTCTTCTAGCAGAAATGGCTCTCCAGCATATGCAGACAGCACTGCACACATGCGCTTACAATGCTCCTCCACACAAGAGCCCTGATTGAGCCACAATTCCTGTGTGTGTGGAGCAGCTCTGCCCAAGTACATCACGTAGATTGGCGCATCCTTTGCCATGCAAACATTCACTGCGGGAGGCTGGGCTAGCCACATAGTCCTATCACTTAATGCGCTCTTTCAGGGTGTGTGGATCTGTGTGTGCGCGCGCATCTGGTGGGGGGAACGAATCACTCTGGAGTGTATCGTCACCAAGTATAGAGAAATCAAGTCATGCGTGTGAATGTGAAACGTGCTTAAGTATCAGTGAAAATAAGTAAGTTTAGAACAGTGTATGAAGCACAAAATACTTAGCCAGTTCGTTTAATTAAGTGGCCATTGCTCTTATGTATGGTACCCCAGGGGACTCTTAAGACTCTTAGATACGCTTCATAGCAACGAACACAGGAGGTGGCTATAACCAGTGTTCACAGCCTGGCACACAGACCTGCATGATATCCATAACTGAAGGCATGCATTTATCACAGGCATACTTTATTAGACTTATATCTCGTCTTTGTTATATAAAGAAGTCAGAGCAATTTACATCATTCTTTTGCTCCAGCTCTCAGTCTTATCCCTACAACAACCCTGAGAGTCAGGCTGAGAGTCTGTGACTGGCCTAAAGCCATCCAGTTGACTCCACAGCCGAGCAGGGGCTAAAACCCAGGTGACGAGTTCCAGTTCTTGCTCTTAAGCACTACACCACATTATGTTTGGGCAGATGGTACAATTGTGACAAATGTGAATCTATACTTCTACCTAATGAGTTAGGACTGGCTGCAATTCAGGCTTTCCATAGTTTGGTGGTGTAACTATTGCTGCTCACAGGATTACTAAACCTTAGTCTAAACACAAGGCTAATCCAGGATTGCAACTTGGAGGATAGTCCACAAAAATCAAGCTAGCAAATTTTATTCAATTTCTTTACTGCCCAACAGCCAAAGCAGTCTGGGCAGTTCACATATGCAGCCTTCCCCAACCTGGTGGTCTTCAGAGGCATTTGGACTGAAATTCCCAGAATTCTCATCCAGCAGGGCCATTGACTAGGAATTCTGGGTGTTGTAGTCCAAATATGTCTGAAAGACAAAGGTGGGGAAGGCTGGTCTAGTGCGTGAATGGCCTACACATTTGGAATTAGGTAACATCAGGGAGGGAGTGTTCAGGCCCCTTCTTTTCGGGGCTTCAGGGATGCTCTGGAGACTAACATGCCTATTTCCATTGGCTTTCTCCAGATCTGTGAGCTGGAGGTTTTACTGGTGTAAATAGTTTTTGCTATTTTTATAGTTTGTTTAGTGTATGGCTTGTTATACATGGATTTATGATGTATATTAGCATTTAAACTAAGTTAAAACACAATTAAAATATAAATGTTTAAAAGATCTCTATTCAAACATCAAACATTTTAATAGTATTTTATATCCATTATTATTTGTATAGTTTTTATCCTATACACTGGGTTGAGAGTGTTTTACCCTTTAAAGGCAGTCTAAAATAATTCTAAATAAATAGATAAGAGCAACAGAAGAACCAGGCCAATTACTGAACCCAACTGAATGTGTTTATTCACAAGATAAGTAGACACACAATTAGAAATGGTCAGCTGTTGTTCTAATAAAATGATTTGCAGAATAACTAAGCAAACTTAAGTTGATTTATCAAGAATCTACATTCCAGGAATAGCTTGCCAAAGTAGCCTGAAGGTATTTGTGGGGAAGACACCTGGATTCCTGGAGTCAGAGAGGCAAAACAGTCCTCCGCAGCAGTTTCGAAGATAAAACAAGATTTCACAATCAAATGTATTTCCATGTTGAGTCAGAGCTCCCCTAGAGTGATTGGAAATTCGTACAGACCAATAAATAGCCTGAGATGAGCTGATCATGACCAGGTGACTCCCTTGATTTTGGGGTTTTCAGAGCAAAAAAGGGTCACCTCAGAGATATCGTAATGAAGATTTTGGTACTTATGGATTCATGTTTGACAAATCTAGGATCCTTTTTGGTTAGTGATGTGTTGTAAAAGGGATGGTGGGAATTGAAGGTGGGTGGCAAAGACTGGATTTGACTCAGCAGTACAAGTTTTTTAAAAGATGGAATGTATGAAGTAGTTCTCAGTTGTGCTGCTGGCTCTTTAATCCCTTGAAAAGTTTCAGCCTCAAGTAATGGACAGTGCAAGCTGGGTTCTAGGGCAAAATGCCACCAGTGTCAGTGCATGGTATTATATGTACATCACACCAACAGGAAAAGATCTACACTGGTTGCCACTTGTTTCATGACTCAGTTAAAGACGTGTTGTTTGTTTAAGTGAACATCTAAATAGCTTAAGGCCTGGCTGTCTGAGGAACCTGCTTGGTTATTAGATCAGTGAGAGAACCTTTCCAAATTCATACATGTTTATAGAGGCCCACTTGTTGGATTCCTGGGAAAGGGTTTTGCCGTCTGTCACTTCCAAACTCTGGCAAGTACCCGCTTTGGGACTGTGACTGGTTCCTACCTTTTCAGCATTCAGAAAGTAGGTCAAGACACATATTTTAACTTTTAAAATAGCTTTTGTGTTTCTTAATGTTGCTTTTATTGGCCTTGTTCTCACAAAGAGGCTGTGGCCTCTTATGTGAGAATGGTTTGGTATATGCAAATTTCATTTTTAATATGCAGTTTCCAGTCATCTGAACAGATAGGGTCTGGGCAGCTTAAACAATCCAAAGTTAACATAACAATTAGGGTGACTTTGGATTGTTTAATCCACAGTATCTGAATTTGAACAGAGGACAGCTTCTGATTGGGTTGATTAGAGGCTGCATATTCAAAATGCAGGTGTTATGCAACCTCAGTAAATTATTGGTTAATTAATAAGCTTGCTGTCATGATGTGTGAAAAAGGTTGTCATCTTACTACTGTTTTTTTTAATGATACCCTTCCCAGGTGGCTTTCAGAAAAGCAGTACAGAAGCATTAACATCCATAATTAAACCAGTCTGCCCTCCTCTGTGTGGATCCCTTCTCAATACTACCGTCATCTGCTGAGTTACCCTCTTACTCTGGCCCAGAAGGTGAGTGCAAGTGAGCACCTGGCTGCCTTGCTATCCTCAGCTACTCCTGGTAGGGCAAAATGGATAACCGCACTAGGTGCTTTCCACTGCTGCCAGGCAGCCCTCCTATCACAAAGCAGGAGATCATTCTAGCAGCTGCACTTGGGTGACCTCTTATATCTGTGCTTGGCACCAGCACTAGGGGAGAGGCAGAGTTAAGGAAAAAGGAAGGCTGGTGAAGGAGCGGCAGCAGCTGCTGCAACAGTGGAAATGCTCCCTTTCCTCAGGCCTGGCTCCTTTCTCAGGTTGGTGCTGCGCAGAAATGGCAGGGAACTCTCACCCCGTGTCAGCGCAAGGGCCTAGGGATGATCTCACTCTTCCCATTGAGTGGGGCTCCTGGCAGTGCAGCAGAGAGCAGAGTGTAACTCTCTGGAATGATCTTCCTGCACACCAAGGAATAGCTGAGCACAACTCCTATGCTTTTCTTGGTGTTGGGTGGAAAGTGGGAGTGGGGTCACATCTCCACTTCAAGGTGGACCTTCACCTGCCAGTCTGTAGACCTTATTAGGGACCCAGTCATGGTGACTACTGACACACAGCTTCCATGGGAAAACACAGCAGAATATGCATTCAATGAGTCTGATGCTGAAAATCCCTGATTACTGAGCTGTGACTTAGCAGGATGACAATTCCAGGAGTGGCCATAATAGGAGGCTATGAGAGGAGGCGTGGCAGAGCCCACGTTTTCCACGCAGAAGTTCCTGCTTCCATTCCCCATGCCTCCAGTCAGTGTAGACCTTGCACTATGATGTGGCCCCTGCTGCCACCACTATGTCTGGAATTCATGGTGTTGGAAGCAAAAAGCGGGGAAAGGTGCTTCAGTGCCACTGAATTTGGCAGAGCAGGAGTGAATCCACAAGAGAAACATTTAGGGGAAAGCGACCTCTGGGTCCCCAAAGCTGCCCACCCCTGCTTTAAAGGATTGCCTGTGAGAAGTTTAAAGAGTCAGGCAGGAGGCGATATGAAAGATGCTTGCCTGCTGATCCAATTAAGAATACAGTGCTGGGCTAGATGGAGAAATAGTTTGACCTGTTTTAATTATTGCAGCTTCCTATGTTTCCATGAGGCAAGCTGAAGGGACAGGTTTGGAGTAAATGTGAAGGATTTGGAGGGGTCCCCCCACCCGGCCAAACAATCAAACTAACAAAAACTGCATTCTCAAGTTTGTTCCAGATCTATGCAACAGCTACTCTGGGGCAGAGAGAGCTCAGATAAGCCCTTCACCAGCACCATAGCTTAAGCAGATAATCAGCTAGGTACAGGCTATGAAAGAGGAGATGACAGCAACCCAAGAGAGAGCGTAGCCATCACAGACATGCTCATGATGGTGTTAAACCGTCTGTTTTAGACATAGGGAAAGCCAAACAAGATTGGATAACAGAGCTAGCCTTTTTCTGGTGAGCAATGTTGCAAAAGCTGCAAGAGCACTCATTTTTATACTTGTCTAATCCTGCAATCCTCTGACCTTGGAATATTATCCTTGAACACAGTTGGACTTTGTCTGAATAAACATGCATAGTATTGCTCTGGGTTGTATCTAACTGTCTCTCTCTGCCGATGGAAAGCTCTTTGATCCAGCAGAGGCTTCTGTGAGTGGAAAGGACTGCCCTGGGTGGGGGCGATATTTGCACATCCCTTATTTCTTCTCAGCTCCAGCACCGTCTCGTGTTCTAAAGAGAGCTCCTAAACCTCCAGAGCAAAAAGGAGAAGAGAGGGCACAGAGGGAAGGCAGAATCAGCAAACATTGTTTCCTTTCCCCAGCTCATGGAAGGCACCCCTGGATCAAAGAGCCTCCTGCCCATGGAGGGATATACGCATAGTAAAGTAGTTCAAATTTTATTCTGAAATCAGTGTTGGTGTTTTCCTTTCACTTTCAAATGGTCTCTGCTCATCAAAAACTTATATTTTCCAACCCACAAGTCCAACTTCAGGTGTTGCTAATATGTGCCAAAGGTTTTTATAAATTTATTCAGTTTTATACCACCCTATTAGCCATAAGGCTTTCTGGACAGCTTACAACTAGGTAGCACTACAGAAACCTAAAACTGAGATGGGAAATCTAGTTTTCACAGGTCATATACAATACTCCACTGAACTCCATGTGCTCCTCAGCACCGTCTGTTCTCTGGCCCATTCTCTGCTTCATTTCTTGTTGCTCACTTTTGCTTTCCAGTTTAAACCCTCTGGAATTGCTTCCTTGTCTGCTGTGAATGAAGTGGGACTGGGGAGAGAATGGATGGGATGGAAAAGAGTTAGGCATTGCCAGGAGCCATTCCCACTTGGCCTCTGGCTACACGCACATGGAATGCAGCCCACATGACTTTTCCCATGTGTCAACAGTCCTTCATGTGAAAAAGGTCTCCATCCTGGCCTTTAAAAGGGAGGCATGTGGTTAATTAAATGCCCCTCTCATGGGTGTGTTCTGGTAAAATTTGTCTAGAGAACTTGGGAACCAGTAACGCAAGGCCCTAAATGACCTCTCCAAGAAACAAATACAGAAACAGGTACAGAAACAAATTCTGTTTTTTCATGTAATCATATTGGTACTGTGACTGAAGTGAATTTAAAATGTAAAGCTGTACCAATTTTTAAAATCAGGTTGGCAAAGTTTTGCTGCTGCAATAACCAGGAGTATAGGAGCAGCATCAATGCATGAAATAGCTGAAATAAAGGCTAATTGTATGCTTCATAAGTAAGGTCCCATCTGAAGGGTGGGGGGCATAAGTCATTATATCCAGGGTTTAAAATTACTTAGCTGTACTACTGGTGTGGATTTATCCTTCTCTCCTCTTGAATATATTTTACTATATATAGGGAAAAAAAGATAGGGCAGAAATAGAAATGCCTATGATTATGGGAAAAAAATCAGGTCTGAGTATCTGGATAACCCTAAGAAGTGGCAAGAAGTTAGTTAAGTGATTGCCATTTTCTTTCTGCAATGCTGTCCTGCTTCTTAGAGTACCTTAAAAAGAAGGTACTCAACAATAAAGTTTGAGCGTTTTGCCTTCCTAGAGTTCCTATCAGGAAATCTTCAGGTGTTTGTTTCATCTGAGAACTAAATAAGTGACCACAGGTGGAATCATTGCTCAGTTTTTAGGGACTGAACAAGTCCAGCATCCAACTAATTTCTGGAAACAAATAAGACTTAATAAAACTAGGCCAGTGTTTGCCTATGAAATGTCCCTATTAGCTCTGACTAATTTTTACATTTGTTTGCAAGTCTGCACAATAACACCCCCCCACACACACACTTCCTCCTGTGACAAAATTATAGAAATATTTGACTTACATTAGACAAGTATGCTTGCTTTGTAGTATATTCACCAGCATGACTCATGTGAAAGATGATGCCAATGTTTTTGTCAATTTGTCTGATTTGGAATTTACACATTAGCTTTGTTGAGCCGAATCTAATTTTGTTTTTGTGTTAAGTTCTCCTAGCAGGCAGACTACTGACCAGCTGATACACTTGCCAGCATAACATCTGCAGCATCAAAAGGTTATAGCTTCCTTTTTACCTACTGTATTCTATGAGTGTCTAGGTCACAGTGTTGCAAGGAATATTGGAGATTATCAACCCCCAGCCCCTGCCAAGTGCAGGACACAACTACAGCGTCCCTGTCTGACTGTCCAGCCTGTTTAAATGTTTCCAATAAAGGAGAACCCCTGCTTCCCGAAGCAGCCTGTTGCACAATCAAAAAACCCTAATCTAAGAAGCTTCCTTCTCCTATCATCCACCCAAAATCTGCTTCGTTGCCATTCCGACCCATCAGTTCTAGTTCTGCCCCCTGGAGCAACTGGGAACAATGCAGGCTCTTCTTCATGACAGTGGTTCAGATATCTGCACACTGCTTTCATCTGTCCCACCAGACTAAACATAACCAGCTTTTTCAATGGATCCCCATAGGACTTGGTTTCCAGACCTTTCACCTTTCTCTGGGCACACTCCATGTAGTTAATATCATTCATAAAATGCAGCCTACAGAGCTGGAGACAGTATACAGTTGAAGCCTGAAAAGAACAAAACTCTGGCTGTACTCACTTGCTCTCTTTGTGCAGAGAAGGGGAACAGAGATAAGCACACCAGCTCCACCCATCTCTCCTCATTTTCATTTCCCTCTATGCACAGAGAGCAACTGTTCACTCCCCCAGATATTAGTATCCTTGTTTTCCAGAGTTCTAAAAGTGCAAGGAGGACCTCCATGGATAGAGGAAGCCCTCTCAGATGGAGAGCGCAGCAGGAATGGCAAAGGGAGGGCGAATGAGGACACATCCCTGCTTTTCCTTCTCAAGTGTAGTGCTTATACCAGAGAACCTCTTCCAGCTGCATCCTAGTGGTGGTCAGGCCCTGAAGCAAAGAGAGCAGGGTCAGAATACAATTAGACACATGCAAGTATCTTTCACCCTAGGACTTCGGTACACCTTAGAGGAGGCAAACAGACTTTTAGAATGGCAGGGAATAGCCGAAGAGCCAGAACAATAGCAAACAGTTGACAGCTTAGTGGGAAAGGGGAGCATGGGTTCTTGCAAAGAGCAGGAACATCTAGCCAGATTTGACCCACTGAGGTTTCCCACTCCTGGCTTTAAGGCAAGGAGAACAACTGAATAGGGCTTCTTATTTCTCATGACCTGGACAGGGGGAACTAGCATACTATTTCCGTGAATGTAGCCCAAGTTACCTGGAAAGTAAGCCAGTACTTATGCCCTTGATTTCTTGCCTTTAAATGCAGGAGTTGTATTTATCTTTGTTGCATTTCATCATGTTGGTTTTTCAGTCTGGTGTTTCAGCCTGTCAAGAACATTTTGAATGGTGGTTCTGTCTGCAACCAAAGAGAAGTATTTCAGTTCACTAAAACCAGTCCCTGGCCTGTGATAACTCCCATCTCTTTCCTTACAAGCTCAAATGCATGTGCTAAGTAAGCATTCATCAAGAATACTATGAGTGTGAACATAGTAAGAGT